ATGTTGAAACTAAAGAAAAATTCAACATTTAAAGACTACTGTAGCAATCTTAACGTTGACATTTGAAGGATTGATTATTTTAGTCGTTGAAAGTTAATGACAACCTAATTACAAATTCTACGTTGACACTAAAATAGTTTTCGAAGTATAATGACTAATACTACGTAACCATTGAAAGTGACATTGTAAAAAGTATTAAAAAATTTCAAACCAACTATGCCCTTCTATAACTATTTATTTTGGTTGCTCCATCCCGTTTAAATGAAATAAAATAAAATAAATGAGGCGAGATCTGAAACCTGCTCCAAAGTTAACCGTGGCACAAGGGAAACATGGAAGAAAATCCCAACCCAGACTAGAAACCACTTGTAATGTCGATAGTGATGTCAACAAAAGGTGTACACATGCTATTTCCATTTCAATTTTACAATAAGATTTGGTTTTAGATAACTCTTCAATAACCAAAACCCTCTATTTCAAAATTCGACTGAAGTTGTCATTCTCGCTTCCACCTCTCTCAAATCCAATTGAAGCTGCAATTTTATTTCTCTCTCATGGATTTGTTTGTCTTAAGGACCAATTTCGTTATTAAAGGTATGTAAACGGGTGGACCTGGAGGTCCAATAGGGTTAATTGACCCCCCCCCCCCAAATTTTTTTTAAAAAAAATATTTCTGCTTTTTTTTTTTAATTAGAAGGTCAAAATTTAAAACCTTCACTATAAATGTATAATGCAATCTGATACAGCCCATTCTAAGACCTGGTGATAACGCATTCCTCAAGGATACTCATATATCGAGGACTTCCACATGCCTGGATTTCTCTTTTTGGTAACCTAGTCCTCGAGATTTGTGAAGTCATCGGGATGTTTTACTCGAGGACTACAGTTGTGGTTCCCAACCTTTACTTCTGAGTCCTCAAGTGTTCTTGCTCGATCACATTGTGCAAGATGAATCATCGATCTCTCCAATTCACAAGAAGTCCTACTCTCCAAGGACTCTATGCCAACTTTGATACCATTCATCATAAAATTCTATTACGAATAAGACATTCTTCCTAAACCGGACTCCATTGGATAAATACATCCAACTGGCACAATCTTACTAGGAGTACTCTACCTACCTCTATAAATACAGAACCTTGGGCCATTATTCAGGTATGTTCTCATTATTTTCAGTTTATAGCCTCATGCACATAATTCTCTTTCTGACTTAGGCATCGAAGGGGCAACGAGAACAGCATCATTGGCGCCGTCTGTGGGAAACGCTACCAACAGCCATGGTTAACACACGATCAAGTCTTCTTCCTGCAAGCTCATCCGCTCTCATCCCTCATCCTGCTGAAGATCAACCGGCTCCTTAAGAAGAGTCGTCATGAGTGCTCGCACCTCAACTCGCGACCGTCACAACTAAAGTCTTCGAAGAGCTCCGTCAGCAGGTGGCCACACTAATGCAGCTGTTACGTAAAAAAATTTGCATCCGTCACCGGTGCAAGTAGAGCATGGTGGTTTTATAGCTGATGCTCAAGCTCAAGCACCAAACCTCACAACTGGCAGAGTGGGGACCTTGGGTATTCCTAACATGGCCTTGGGCTCGAGATCAGTTGCTATGGATTTCAGAGAGATTGTCCGGATCATTTAGGAAGGAATTATGGCTGGCTTGCAACGAAATGCTCAAGGGGCAGCAGGTTTTACCCCTAACACTCCATTCACGATGGAGATATTGTCATATTCCCTACCCGACAGATTCAAATATCCTCGCATTAAGGAGTATGATGGGATGACTGATCCAATCAATCATCTCAATGTATATATTGATGTCATGAATTTGCAAGTTGTACTGGATCAAGTTATGTGTAAAGCCTTCCGCAAACACTGACTAATGCTGCTAAGGATTGGTTCTTGACATTGGAGCCCAACTCCATAGCCTCATTCTCAAATTTGGCTAATAAGTTCTCAACCTTCTTTGCAAGTAGCAAGCATATCAAAAAGATTGCGGCGTCTCTCATGCAACTTTGCCAGGGACCAAATGAAACTCTGCGAGGATTTATGACCAGGTTCGACAAGGAAAGACTTCAAATACCCGACCTTCACATTACGATGACTGTCTCTGCCCTCACATATGCCATAAGGTGTGAAGCTTTCAAGATGTCCTTATCAAAGACCCCACCACAAACAGTGATCGAGCTCCTCACTCGAGCTGAAAAATACATTAATATGGAGGAAACGCTGAATCCAAGGAGATTTGATCCTTGCCATGAAAAGGCTGAGAGCAAGAAGCAACATGATTTCATTTCCCAACAAGAGCATCCTCGGGAAAAGTGCAAGAATGAAGGGCCACCAGGGCCTCTCACTTGGTTGAACACCTCCAAGGCAAATATCTTAATGGAAATCAAAGATATGAAAGAGTTAAGGTAGACTTCAAGAATGAAGTCACCCTTAGACACAAGAGATAGGAACAAGTATTGTGAATTTCACCTAGATCATGGGCACACCACAGAGGATTGTCAAGCCCTGCAGCGGGAAGTTAAAGCCCTCATTAAAAGAGGGTTGTTGAGGAATTATATTGGTCATGATAAATGCCCGAGGAATGATCATGACAATCGAAAAGATCCTGGAGCCTGAAAGCAGTGCTCAACCCACTGCTGAGACCATTAATATTATCATTGGAGGCATAGCATCTGGAGGAGACAAAAGTAGTGGGCAAAAGCAATATGCCTACCAACATGCTCATACCCCAAAGGGAATCTCGTGATAAAGTCAAAGACATTACCTTTGGGGCAAGGGATTTGGAAGGAGTATCATATCCTCATGACAATGCCTTGGTGATCGATAATGGGAGTGTAGCAAATATACTGTCACATGATGCTTTTGCTAAGATGGGGATCTCTCCCAAACAGCTCAGAACAGTCAAAACTCCTCTACAGGGATTTGGTGGTAGAGTCATTATCCCAGAAGGAATCGTCAAGCTTCCACTTACTTTGGGTTCTGACAATACCCAAGTGACGGAGATCACACCCTTCCAAGTGGTTAACACTCCTATGGCTTATAACATCATTCTAGGAAGACCCCTGCTAAACAAGATCCAAGCCATTAACCTGGCCATGAAGTTCCCAATAGGTCATGGCATCAAAGTAGTTCGAAGAGATCAAATAGTTGCCAAACAGTGCTATGTTACTAGCATCTGAGGAATAAGTACAAACATCATGCAACTTTCAGACCTCGAGCTCGAGCTCGAGCCAAGAGGTAGACTTGGCCCGGTTGAGGAATTGGAAGTAGTCGAGCTCGAGCATGGAAAAAATATAACTATTGGTCGGGATCTCAAGGCCAGCCTTTGGGAGAAAGTCATCAATTGTCTGTCCCATAACATTGATGTTTTTGAATGGAAGGTCGAGGATATGCCAGGGATAGACCTCGAAAGTAGCAGTCCATAGGCTCAACATAAGCCCAGGGGCCAAACCTGTTAAGCAAATGAAGAGACATTTTACGCCAGAAAGACGTGCGGTCATTCAGGAAGAGATTGACAAACTGGTGAGAGTGGGGTTCATGAGGGAAGTCCATTGCCCTGATTGGCTTGCTAATGTTGTTCTTGCGAAGAAGGCCAGCGAAAAATGGAGGCTCTGCATCGACTTTACGAATCTCAATAAAGCATGCCCTAAAGACGGTTACCCACTCTCCAGAATAGACAATCTTGTGGATAGCACGTCCGGACATAAGTTGTACAGCTTCTTAGATGCATTCTTAGGGTATCATCAAATCCTCATGGCATACTGCTACAGGGTGATGCCGTTTAGGTTGAAAAATGCTGGGGCAACATATCAAAGGCTCATCAACAAAGTCTTCCCTAATTTGATAGGAAAGAACATTGAGGCCTATGTTGACGATATGGTGGTAAAGAGTAAGAAGGTAGAGCAGCACATATCTGAGCTTGAGGAAGTGTTCGCCACCCTACGAAAATATCGGATGAAGCTCAACCCAGAGAAGTGTGTATTCGGTGTAGCTTTGGGAAAATTTTTGGGCTTCATGATCATTCACCGGGGGATAGCACCAAACCCCGATAAGATCCAGGCCTTAGCAACAATGGAATCACCCAAGACTAAGAAAGAGGTGCAAAAATTGACAGGTAGGGTAGCAGCCCTAAACAGGTTCATGTCCCGGGCAGCAGACAGGTGCTTCCCTTTCTTCAAAGTTCTAAGAAGCAGCCAATCCTTTCAATGGAATGAGTAGTGTGAGAAGGCTTTTCGGGAGCTCAAACCAACGTTGGCGTCTCCTCCTATCCTCACTAAACCAGAGCCCAGGGATACTTTGTTAATGTACTTAGTCGTGTCTCAAAATGCAGTAAGCGGCATCTTGGTAAAAGAGGTCAACAGAGCCTAGCAACCCATTTCCTACGTAAATAAAGTCCTACTTGACACAGAGACCAGGTACACTTTGGCCGAGCAACTTGCCCTTACCCTAATAGTGGCAGCACGAAAGTTTCAGCAATATTTTCGGTCTCATCCCATTGTGGTGCTCACTAACCAGCCTCTGAAGCGCATCCTTCAAAAGCCACACGTTTTAGGTAGGTTACTAAAGTAGGCAATCGAACTTGGAGAGTTTGACATAGAGTTCAAACCCCGTTCGTCCATCAAAGCCCAAGCCTTAGCGGATTTCATTGCAGAATTCACCCTAAGGCCTCGGGGGCCAGATGATATCTCGAGCACTACGATCAATGTTTGGCAAATTTTCGAGGATGGAGCATCAAACTCCTCAGGTTTGGGTGCCGGGGTCATCATCACGAGCCCGGACATACTCATAGACATTCAGTGTGCACTCAGGTTCGAATTTCAGGCAACCAATAATGAAGCAGAGTATGAGGCTATCATCATAGCCATGGAACTTGCCATTAATCTTGAACTTGAAAATATCAAAATTTTTAGTATTCCCAGTTGGTGGTTGGGCAGATTGACGGAGTATTTGAGAAAGTTCATGATCTCCGACGAAAATTGAAAAGGTGTGAAATCATGAAGATTGCCCGAGCTAACAACTCCAAAGCAGATGCCTTATCAAGGCTGGTGTTCATGGGAGTAGATAGACTTGACAGAAGAGTACATGTCAGATTTCTTACCGAGCCTAGCATCAATCCAACCGTGGGGGTCATGGACATTGATCATGAGCCATCATGGATAGACCCAATTGTAGATTTCATAACAAATGGCAATCTTCCAGAAAATCCTCGAGCAGCAAGGAACATCCGGTCGAAAGTCCCTAGGTATTGCATTATTAATGGGGTCTTATTTCATAGAAACCTCACCCTTTCATACCTTAGGTGCCTTAAGCCTTCGGAATCCTCCCAAGCCCTAGAGGAAGTTCATGAAGGAGTATGCAGGAACCATCAAGGAGCTCGAGCTTTAACCTTTAAACTCATAAGGTACGGATATTACTGGCCTACCATGAAGAAAGATGCCGCAGAATACGTGAAGAAGTGTGATAAGTGCTAAAGGTTTGGCTATGTTATCCACTTTCCCGTAGAGGACCTCACAAACATTAGCTACTCAGCCCCATTTGAGCAATGGGGGATTGATATCCTCGGAGGGGACAATTGAAGTTTGTAATTTTAGCAGTCAAGTACTTCACAAAGTGGGTGGAGGCTGAGCCCTTGGCAACTATCTTAAAGCCTAAGATAAGAGCTTTCGTTTGGAGGTCCATCATATGCAGGTTCGGGATACCGAAGGTCTTCATAACTAATAACGATGGGCAGTTTGACAATGCACAATTCAAGGATTTCTGTTCCAACATAGGGGTTTACCATCGCCTAACATCAGTCTCTCATCCCCAAAGCAATGATCTAGCCGAGGTCACCAATCGGATTATATTGCAAGACCTTCGAATAAGGATTGGAGATGCAAGAGGATCCTGACGAGTTGCCTTCCATACTTTGGACATATAGAACATCCCACAGGACCACTACCAGGGAGACCTCCTTCATGTTAGCTTTCGGAATTGAGGCCACCATTCCCATCGAAATCAGGTTACCCAGCCAGAGAAGAATTAGTCCCGAAGAAACAGGGTGCACCACTAAACATCTCGAACTCCTGGAGGAAGTTCGTGATCAGGCAGCCTTAAGAATAGCCTCTTACCAAGATAAAACAACGAAGTATTTCAATAAAAATGTAAGGTCGCAAAGATTCAGAGTTGGAGATTTGGTGTTAAGAAGAGCAAAAGCCGGTGGTCATGCTCTGGGAAAACTCGGACCAATTTGGGAAGGGCCCTTTGAAGCATATGACAGCTCCCAGGAGGTGCATATAGTTTAAAGGATACTTCGGGAAGACCATTCCCAAGACCATGGAACGCCGAAAACTTAAAGGTATATCACAAGTGACCCGCTCCGCCATGTTTTATAAATAAGGCCTATGTGCCAAGTCAATCTTTTAGCATTAATAAGGCCTGTGTGCCAAGTTAATTTTTTATCATTTGTCGGGCCTGCGTGCCAAGTCTATTTCCAAAATACACTACGAATAAAACTAATTCTAAAAATATGACAGCTATGCCTCAAAGTCTTGCCTCGAGCAAGCACCTCAAAGCCTTGCTCCAAGCAAGCACCACAAAGCATTGCCTCGAGCAAGCACCTCAAAGCCTTGCCCCATGCAAGCATACAAAGCTTTTCTCCACGCAAGTACCTCAAAGCCTTGCCCCACACAAGCATACAAAGCCTTGCTCCACGCAAGCACCTCAAAGCCCTGCCCCTCGCAAGCGTACAAAGCCTTGCTCCTCACAAGCATACAAAGCCCTGCCCTGTGCACGAGAAGCCGTGATCCATAAAATACCAATAAGAGAAAATCCCTACAAAATCGATACGCCCGAGCCCATCAATACCTAGATCTACAAACGGCTCCGATTGACAAGGCTCGAGAATTAACATTCTCGGAGTCCTCGTGGGTATCAATGTCCTCGAGATATGCTTTGACTGGAGTCATCGAGATATGTTTTGACTGGAATCCTCAAGGTATGGTCTGACTTGGAGTCCTTGAGATATGGTCTGAGTCTATGTCCTCGAGATATGTTTTGATTGGAGTCTTCGAGGGACTCCATGTCCTCGAGATATTGTAATCAGTGTGACCATACATTCGCTTGGGATGTGGTCGGCCAAATGGCTCCCCCAAATCTTCGAACAAAACGCACGTATTGTGCTCAAGACATACAATAACGACAGCCCCGATCGCAATACTTCGCAATTTTCTAAATCAAAGTGCTACCCCAAGCTTTGAACAAGAGCAAGCGTCGGGCCCAGTACGCACTTAATTAGACCTTACATTCGTCGAGAATAGTAATTACATTTTTAAAATCCTCAAGAAAATAAAAGATGTTGATCTCGAGCATGATTAGTCAACATATATAAAAGAAATTCATAAACATGTTACAATCATCGATCCAAAAACTTCATTACATTATGATCACAAAAAAAATCCTTGGGATACATAGAAGGGGAGGGAATTCTAATGAATTTGTCCTAAAGGAGGATTGAGGGTTGTAATATCGATCTGTACATCATCGTCCTCGCGCTCGTCCTCCCCCTTGACGTCTTCATCGTCCTCGCCATCACCCCCATCATCTGAACCCGATAGCTCGAGGGTGTTAGCGATGGAAGGAACCTCTTTCAAGTCGTCAGGCCTGACGTCGGGCAAATGGGCTCGCAGATAGGCTCGGGCCTCTTTGAAGGCATGGAGGTAATCTCCCAAGGCGTACTCACCTTTGATCTTATCGCAATCCTCAGAAGTTTTGAATTCTTCCCAGGCTGTCTCCTTGACCTCGGCAAGCTTTTCCTCGAACTCCTTGGTCTTGTGCAAGAGCTCGAGCTTTGCCTCCTCATTCTTGACCTTCAGGACTCCAGCCTCCTCCTGTGCCCTCAATTCCCTCCGCATGTCCTCGCGCTCTTTTCCCCAAGCCTCATATTTGGCCTCAAGCTCAGCAATCCTCACTCTGCGATCCCAATAAGTCTCCAGGATTCCTCGAGGCCCCTCTCAGAGACCCCCTGGAAACACTCAACGTCTGGAAAAAGAAAACATTAAACATCAGCCCGAGCAATATGATGTATTTAAAAACAAAAAAGTATTTGAATCGAGGTACCTTCAAAGTAAGAAGCTCAATGGCTTTCATCTCCTCACATAACTCAAACCTCATCCCTATACTTGGTCACCAAGCTTTGTACAAGATGACCGCGCTCGAACTCCTCAGTGATCGAGGCCCCTACTGGGATGGTGTCGTCATCGAGATCAACCACCTCTGAAGGAGCTCGAGGCGTAATTCTTGGGGATGGGGGCCTCTGGATAATAGGTCCACAAGGACTTTCAGCCAGAGGACGAGGTTGAGACATCTCACCAGGACCTCTGATAGGATGTTTAGGGAACGTTAACCCGAGCCCTCTTTTTACTTTTCTTCTTTAACTGAGGCTGGCTCCCAACTTTGGAGTTCACGAAGTTACGTAATGCTCGAGGATCGAACGACATCCCTGAAATCAGTAAATAAGACAACACATTAGAACGAGCATGAAAACTAAAGTATGTACAAACATGAGAACTAAAGGGTCCTACCCTCGACGCCTCTCACATCAGCTAGATCAATGACTTCATCCCCAATCTCTTTCATCGTCGAGAATAAGGGGTCGAGCCCCACCAGCATCCTCCTATGCTCTTCCAAGATATCTGGGTATACCTGGCCCTCACAGAACTTCTCTGGGTCGGGAATTCCCCAATTAGGCCAGAAAGGGAGACCGAGATCCCGAACAATAGCATAAAATCATCCCTCCCCCCACCCTTTTAGCGAACTCGCCATCCTCAGGACCTTAAACCCTCCTATGGTTAAGAGATAACCAAAGCACGTGTATCGAGGATGTTTCTTAAGCTCGAGCACTAATCTACAAAGGTTGACATTGGGCTCGATCGCTAAGTACCTACATGATATAAAGAAATACACGAGCATTCTCCAGGCATTAGGCACTAACTATCCCCGGCACATGGAGTGCTCGACCAACAGGGCAATGAAAAAGGGATGTAGGGGCCACCTAAAACAAGCCTTGAGGGTGTCCCTAAAAATAACAAATTTACCTCATCGGGCTCGTACAATTCTATCCTCGAGGCTAGGCGATCTAACATCGCAGATAGACATAAGGACACACTCCCTAGCCGCAGCAATAGCTAAATGCTCTTTTAACTTACAAGGTTCGTCAGGGTACTCAAAGATCATATTAACCTAAGCCTCGGGTGTTTCCTCTAGGGAAATAGCCGTGGGTACAATCGAGGTACCTACATCCTCACTACTACTCGAACTACTGGATCGATCACCCCCCTCATTGCTCGACATTACTTAATAAACCAAAGTCCTAACTTATGAAATAGGTTAAAAGTCTTGAACCTTACCTTTGTAATACCCAACGCCTCGAGAAGTTCCTCAAGTATTTCTCTCGAGCACGATCTTATATAGAGCTTGTTTACAGTTGGTAAAATGTAAAAAATGAAAGGTAAACTACCATATTTATAGGAGTGGAATATGGAAGGCGAAAGATCACCATCTCCAGCCGTTCAAGATATGACACGTGTCGCGGATTTGAACACCCCCTGCAACGGTCAAATCATTTCTCCCNAAAGATCACCATCTCCAGCCGTTCAAGATATGACACGTGTCGCGGATTTGAACACCCCCTGCAACGGTCAAATCATTTCTCCCAATAATATCATCCTTGCACATATCTCGACGAGGACTATTGGGTCAATTGTACCCCTTCATCAAGCACGAGCCCTACGCAGGAGTGCACGGGGGCCAATGATACAGCCCATTCTGAGACCCGAGGATAACTCATTCCTCAAGGATACTCATATATCGAGGACTTCCACATGCCTGGATTTCTCTTTTTGGTAACCTAGTCCTCGGGATTTGTGAAGTCATCGGGATGTTTTACTCGAGGACTACGGTTGTGGTTCCCAACCTTTACTCGTTTGAGTCCTCAAGTGTTCTTACTCGATCACATTGTGCAAGATGAATCCTCGATCTCTCGAATTCACGGGAAGTCCTATTCTCCAAGGACTCTACGCCAACTATGATACCATTCATCATAAAATTCTATTACGTATAAGACATTCTTCCTAAATCGGACCCCATTGGATAAATACGTCCAACTGGCACAATTCTACTAGAAGTACACTACCTACCTCTACAAATACAGAACCTTGGGCCATTATTCAGGTATGTTCTCATTATTTTCAGTTTATAGCCTCATGCACATAATTCTCTTTCTGACTTAGGCATCGAAGGGGCAACGAGAACATATCTCGATACATTTGTTTCAGGTACCGAAAGACTACGATCGTGTTCATTCAAAATCCTCAAGCTCGAAAAATCAACAGGTATGATTTTTGGTAGCATCACAATCCGTAACTCCAAACTCAACTCTGTGCACTTGTCTTTCTCTCACAATCTATCGACTGCGGATTGTCATTATCATTTACGATTTACCCACCCTTTGAAAATTTGATTGTGATCCTTAACCTAACCTAGAGTATCCAGGACCGCCCAGGGTACGTATTTCATTGGTCTTCAATGTTCCCCAGGACATAATCTAGTGATTCAAAAGATAGGAATGGAGTACTCTCAGACTTGCTGGCAACCACAGAGTGAGAATTCGATTCCTGAGATATGGAATTGGACTCTTTGTAGGCACCAGTATATGGATAGGCTCTTGTTTCCAACCTGTTGAGGCACATTCCGCGATTTACCTCCCGCATGATGCTCCAGGTGCAGGACGGTGTGGCCCTCAAGACTTGAGGTTCAACACTTTTTTTTTTTTTTTAATTCTTTGGTCTTGAACTATTTGAGCGGATCTTGGAATCAACAGTTGTTCAATTCCGTGAATAATCTCATCGTGGCGAATGATATCTTTTGAGTTTTCCCTCATCTGTTTTTGTATCTACCAAATCTCAATAGCTACGTTGCCGCCGCAGCAACATACATGGCCGTCGGGTAATCTCTCTCTATTTATACGTACACAGATATACTTGTCGTGTATAAACTATGACTACCTGATTTGGTCGTTGATATGGATGAATTGTTTGACGTGGAATAGGAAGAACAAGAGGATTATGGAGGGAAAAAAGGGAAGGAAGAAGAAAGCGTGAGTAATTTTGTTTTCTGTTTTATAATAACTGGATGTTTTTCTTTTTTCGAAAGATCTTTTAAACTTAGGTTTATGTATAGAGCTGATCCATTCGCAAAAAAATGACCGGTATGATATCACAGCAACGATAGTTTACAATGCCAGAAATGTCCCAAAAAAACCCTAGTTACTCGTGCCCAGGGTATTAAGGTAAAATATTTCAGTTATTAAATAATTCACATTTCGGTGATAATTATTTGTAATTCGGGTTTTTTTTTAACTGTACTTTAAATCAATTAAATGAAATGAGCGGAATTTGACTGCCCAGATCTGATTATGAAAAGAGAAAAAAAAAATTATCGTAATTCATATGCATTTTTATTAGTTTGCTCATGCCTAATCAGTTTGATAGTAATCGTGGGATTAATGGAAATGTCCCTTTTCATTTTCTTGGAACTTCTGGTGGGCTTTTAGTATGTGGTGCAACTTTAATTTTTGTTAACTTGCAGCTTATATTTTTTACTTGGATGCCTTTTGTATCTTTTGTTTCTATTGTTTTGACTAATTTACTTCTGTAACATTCAATGCCAGATCACACTTGATATTCCTTTGGCAGTGGCTCTACTTTGCTATTCTTTGGCAACTTACTACTCTATTACTTCCATGAAGTGGCTTCCGCCAAGGTTAGCCCCCATGGTTTGGTTTCTATTTATAACCTTCTCGTGTCTTGACAATAGTAATTTTTATTCACTTTATATTTTCACGCAATCTCGTTCAGCTAACTGATGTTTGCTACTTGTACTGTTAAGCCTACTTGAGCAGATTATGTGGCAAATGGTTTCTGAAAGTTGCAGTTTACTTGTCCTCTCAGTGAACTTATGAGGCATTTCATGGAACTGTCTTGAGAAATTTCTTGTTTAGCATTTAGTAGACATATGATTTTGATGTGAATTATTATTCTTGTGCAATTTTTAGGTAGCTTCTAGAATGTCATTCTGCATTGCATCTACTGGGGTAATAATTTTTATCTTGAGTTTGCTCTATTTTTTACAATGGGGTAAGTATGAAAAATATCTCCTGACTATTTTTTGTTATTTGTTGATTGTCTTTTATGTTTGGTACTTGTTGGTCGTAAATTATTTTTTAATAAATCATAGGTTTAATCTTCATGTAATTTTCACCCTATTTGAAAATTGATAATTATTTCCTGGGTGGGTCAAGGTTGCATAAATTCCTGTTTTCGTACATTCATTGTTTTTGAAGCGAGTTATAATCAGCCTAGGTACCGTTGTTAAGCCTACGTTTTTCAAACACTTTCCTTGGTTAGCTGTTAAGGGCATTTGATTTCATGCTGTTACAATCAGTGTTTGTTATGTACACATAGCATCCCCATATTTATTTTAGTCTTGTTGGAGTGACTGAAAATTTGGCCAGAATTTTGGTGATAGGCCCATGAGGCGCCCCCCTATTGGCGCCAATAGGGGGGCGCCACATGGGCCTGTCACCAAAATTCTGGCCAAATTTTCTGTTTGAGTAGTTTTATTGTATTTATAAATGTATTGGTGCATTACACCTTTATAACTATTAGTTTTTATTATTAGTAAGTTGGTATTGATCTTCTTTTGTTCTTCAGCTGCTGGATGGACTGCTGGGGACACAAGCTCCGACTTTGGCTTCATCTATTATACCTCCACTACAGGCTTCCTCTACACCTTCACATGTTCCAATTGCTTCGGTAAACAAAGGTTGCTCTGCATATTCTTTTCCAAATGGTATTGTTTAAAAGATGGCTGGTGTCCATTTTTGCGTGCACCAAATTTTGTGAGCTCTATGATCCACGGAATGCTGATGATGTAAGATATGGTACGAATTGAAGAGAAGTCTATAACTCTTTTTTTTGTTCAGTCTACACACCTTTGGTGCTTAAGTCTAGGACACATTTTACGAAAAATCTGAGTATTACTACAAAATTATAGTACAGTGATGATGATAAAATACAAGCTGAAGTGGGCACTTCTTTTGCTACGTCACCGTTCCATGAGTTTTTGACAGATAGAAGCTAATTCATGTATGGATGAGATACAAATTTGTGAGTCCTTGTGTGATTTTAATACAAAATTGAGTTCATGTACCATTCACGTTATTGATTTGTTAGTGTCTGTCACGTCATTATCACGTTGGCACTTTCTTTGTCATGTGAATTGTTCCATTAATTTTGACTGATGAAAGTTAATTCATGTATGAATGAGATACAATTTCTTGAGTTGAGTTCATAGATAATTTTGATACAAAGTTTAGTACATGTGTGATTTTAATACACGAGGTGAAGTTCATGTACCGTTCGTTACCCTTCGAATT